TATTTCATATTCTCTTATATAATTTATAAAAGCAGCAGATATTTCTTCTATTTAGAGAGGTGGAAACTGAGGCAAGAAAATGCAGTCATTTTGTTGGAGGGACTATTCTACATTTCCAAAGCAATTAAGACATGACCCCAAACTAACTAAATTCTCCTGCAACGTATTCTTACAAGAAAAAGGTTAAAAGGCTTATTGCTTAACAAAAGCTAAACAGTGTGAATTAATTTCAATAACTGGTCCAAAAAGCTGCAGCACGCCACTGAGTAGCTTGGACATCTGTTGCCATGCTTGTTCACGCTTTCCCCTGAGATGACATAGATGTATCATCATTAACAGGTGTCCCTGATTTTGGTTCAGAATACTACTCCTGCACGTCCCCACATCTCCTGTACACAGCCACGTGCTGCCATCTTCTGATGATGCCCAGTGGAGTGTAAACATTTTTTCATGGAAAAGCAAAATCAATAAAAGTAAAACTGCCCACTTTTCCTGCCAGTAGCGCCCTTGGTAACAAACAGGGCAGAGACACCAACACAGAGATTACAATACTCTCAGACATAATTCAAGCAGAACTTTAAATGGATCAGTGCATGTTATAAACTTTCTTTTTTTGCAAGTGCCAAGCATGCTTATGTTACTATTCATTCTGAGACAGACAGATCATCAATGACCTTCTGGGTCACTGACTAGGGAGAAAGCTGACTATAAAAAAGAGTGGGAGAAAAATAAAGGGGGGGTTGCTTCCTTCTACCCTAGACCCCCTACTGCCTTGAATGAAAGAAGACAGATGGCAGCCACCTTTCCCTTTAATTAGGAGGGGCAGCTTAGAAGGGACAGTCCTGCTCACTTGGCACTATCTTTAACAAGACTGTTTCGATGGTAATACTCTGCTCATTCGCCCTTCTTTCAAACTGTTCTGAATTTTTCATTTACAAACTGAATTTCTGTAAATTTAATGGTGAAACAATTACGGCTCTAACCACAACACTATACATAAAGGAGACACTTAAAGATGTTTGCTGAATTAATAATTCACAGATATTCCTATAAAGAGGCTGGAATGTTTCAAATGAAATACAGCTACCTCCAGTCCTATCAGCACCACTTTGAGATAAAATATGAATTCCCAGGACACAGAAGCTCTACCTTAAATTCACAATATTCCATACTAGACATAGAAGACCCCTAGTTTCTGCTTTCCAGTTCCACTCCAGTCGTGCTCCCATCTTTTACCTTCAAAGTATTGCTGTTCAAGTTGACAAAACAAACAAACAAAAAAATAAAAAAAGAATTCTACAGTAAAAATCAGTCCTAAATGTAGAAGGGAAGATCGTTTAATAACAAATCACAAACCACTCTTCATCTCTATTTACTCTGCATCTTCAAAAACCATAGAACTTTGTATTATAAGTTAATCAATCCACATCACATCCCTGGAGAGAGGATCAGCATAAGATACAAACAAAATGGGAAACAGGAGCCACGTGTCAGAATTAGGCTAGTGTCACAGGATCTTCTACGGCGGTGACGAAGCCGCTTCATTATTTTCTAGAGGCAATTAAGCACATTGTCCATAAATCTACATGGCACAAAACTTTCTAACATGAAAGAAAGTTTAGTTGCTGTTGACAGGGTTAGGTCTCTATACGTTGTATCTCATTTTTATATTAAATTTGTTTTGATCAACATCATTAAATAACTGATATTCTTGCAGCTCTTTTCCATTTCCTGATGCGTTTTTAAATTGCAGCCTCTTGTCTATGACAGCTTCCCACCTAGTTTCTGCACAATTCCTGCACAAGGACCCTCTGCCTTAACACCAGTGCTGGGGAAACCCACTCTGCCTGCTTCCAAATGGAAATCAGGGCGGCGAACTGGGGCTGCTTTGCTGGAGGTACTCCTGGTCACACCATGCAAAACGCCTTGTCTGTGTCATAGTCATTTACCTAATGGCAAAGTTCTTGGACCATTTAGAAACAAAACAAAACAAAACACCTTTTGTTTTCTCCTTGATAATAAATTTCAATCTCTTCCTATCTCTGAACAGCAAGCCGGCACAGTAGATATGGGAAGAGGGAAAAGATAAAAGAAGCAATCAGTTATTGAATAAACTCTATCCTACTTCCCAGTGAAGGGGAAAAAACTTGGCATGTGCCAGATATTGGGTGTCTAATAATGTTAGCAAGAAAAAACACGCAGGAGAGACTGATTAACAAAGAAACAAGCAGAACTTACTTTGTTCCCCAGCCCAGTAAGCAGGACGGGAATGAGATGACGGCAATTCCTTCCTCAAGGTCCTTGCTTTCACTTTAAAAGCTGTGTGAGTGCTTATATCCAGGTTTGCCGTGGAACTCCAAATGTCTGCGCTTCTAAAGATGCCCCAAGTTCCCAGTTCATCTCAGACACTGAAGACACACTTGTGAGGATCGGGAAGCCCCGCGGTAGCCCCAGTCGACCTCTGGGTGCCACGTGGCACCTCCACTGTTGTGACTACACACACAAGCCTGGGACGCCCACTTGTTAGCTCACGAACCAGGCGGCCAGCAGATATCTGCTCAGATGAATGTCCAGAGACTCAATCCTCTGGCATTCTCAGGTTCAAGGTTGGAAAACGCATTAAGACGAGAGCCACACAGTCAGCAGAATCTGCGCCATTAGCTTTCTCGTACTTAAACGTCTGTCTAAATAAGAGTCAAAGGCACAAAATGAGAAGGAATATCTTACTAGGGACTGTGACTTGCACTTGCCGTGTTTTGAAAGTACTGGGTCCTGTCTTGCTCTCTAAAACTGCACTTAAGAATCCCTACATCAGAAGTTATTTTCATTTCTTCTGTGAAAAACAGAAAATCAATTAAAGACTGGAAAAACATATGAAACATAATTCTGCTTAAAAACATAACCATTATTTAATCTCAACGGGCCAATTTTTTTAATCCAAAGAAGGAAAAAAAAAATACATGTATAAATTTAAAGTTTGTTTTGAAAAATTACTTCATCCATGTACTGTCCAGCTCATAAAAACAAACTTTCTTCCAGCGAAACGGGACACTTTGACCTTGTTTACTGCAGTGTTTTGAAACCGCTGTCTCGTAACTCCTGACATCACCAGTGGTACATTAGCACCTGGACTGCTGCTGGCTGCACACGCTGCTACCCCAACTCTCTTGAATCACCCGTGGCTGAACAAATACTCACAGAACAGTAAGGATAGTGGCATTAGCATTAAACCCACAAAACTCATGAGACGTTTTAGAAGTGTCACATCTCTCGGTTCACTTATACAAGGAAACAAAAAGCACAAAGCACTGTATATCTAATACTTTTTAAGTCCCAGCATCCAGACCCAGCACAGACAATTCTTTCTTCTGACCCTCTCCCTGCCCAAGAAACGGGATTCCTTTCTCACCAACCGCCATATTGGCAAGAATTTCTGCCACAGAGTTTTACTATTAATAATAGAAGCTCCAACCTACTTTCCACCAATAAAAAGTTCCCACAAATCTTCCTAGGGGAGAATTTATTTAAGTATACTTTAGAGTTTCAAAGAGCACTGCGTTCTTAAGTTTCACAAAGTCAAATTTATTTCTTTTCTGGAACATGCTTTTGGTGTTGTGCCTGCCTCTTGCGTTTTTAAAGAAACAATTTTCTCCTGTAAGCCTGACACATTTCCCCTTCTGCATTCCCCAGTTCTTTTTCTAAATACACCAAAATCAAAGCAAAGGATAGCTGCAACCAGTGGAAGCAAGCCACAACTGAATTTGTGCAAATACCTCCCCAGATTCACTTCTTAAATAAAACTAAATCCCGGTGCCACAACGATAGTGCAATTTTACAAAGAAATTAAAAACCCAAGTTTAACGTATCTGAAATCAATTGATAACCTTTACTGAAACCACTTACGAAACATCACGTCTTTAAACTACAGTCACCAAAAAATATAGAACACAAAATACATATTTGAGCAATTATAGCCCTTGTTTGTCGAACAGGAGTAAAAAGAAAAACATCCAGAGTTATACAATTAATTAACTCTAGCTAAAGAACTACTAAAAAGACCCTCCAAATGCCATGCTGTTTCTATGACAACTTCAAAATTGCTCTGAGAAAATGTGCTGGATTGTCAGATTCGTGATAAAACAAGTGTCATCCTGCCTGCTAGAAATTACTTTCATTTTTTTTCAGGCAGCAGAAAGGCTAAATGGCCACTTGCAATTCTGAAAATCAGATTGTTACCTTTTGACAGATGCTGTACTTTTCATTCAGATCATGAAAAGAGTTAATAAATACATGAATCTCTCTCAATCATCGGAACCCTTTTGGTTTCATTCCTGCAACGATACCACTCCCACCGTCTATCTAGTTGGTACATTATTTTTTATAAGGAAAGCAGCAAAGTCTGATTCAATCTGAAAGGGAAGGGCCAAGAAAAACCCCTAACAGTCTCTCATTTCCAAATACAAATAGGTGAGCAGACACTCACTCTGATATTTAAGGGTTAATAATTACACAGGAAAAGAAAACGGCATTTTCCCCCTTAAAATTCCTGCTCTTAGGTATTCAGGCTGATTTACATTTTACGTAATCTGATGGCTCAATCAGGAAGTGAGAATTTTAAGTGCGTGAGTTATGGACGGGAGGAATCATGTGACCCATAGCAAAGAAAATTATGCAGCAGATGAGCATGCTAAGAAAAATAAACTAAGCAGTTTAAAAATAGTGTTTTGGGGATATATCGACCCAGGAATATCCTACGGCTTTTGAGAACTAATAATTCATTTGGACGCCTCAAAAAATAAATCCCCAGGACTGTTTTAAAAAATATTACAAGACCCAAGTAATGCACGGTGAGACAATAAAGTTTAATTATCCAAGAAACTGTTTCCCTTAAGTTCATATCCATTCAAGGTTTATGTTAAAACATGGTTATGTTATTTTTCATCATTATTTAAAGATCAGGCAATACGTAATATAATCAAACAAAACACAGATTGCAGCAGTGATGTTTACTTAAGCTTTATTTGTATATATAGTGCATGGGTTCCTGGAGCACAAAAAAGAAAGTTGCTCAGATTTATCCAGACCTCACATAAGTTTATAGATTTCAAGTAGTCACTGTATTTTATTACAGCAAATACATTCTTCAAGAGGAAAATGTTAAGGCCACAGAAGCTTTCACCTTAGCTATCTAAGCTTGTACTAGGTCGTCATTAAGTAGTGTCTGTATCATTCTTATGTGTTCTGTAAGTTATGCCACAAATACCAGACCAAGTACACTCAGTCTAGAAACAAAAAAGTGGGAGACAAAGGTTGAAACATTCTAATAGGTGTCATGGGCTGATAGATGACTTTATATTACAAAGCTACTTAAGACAATTCTACTTTTCTAGAATACAATACATTAATATAAACATTTGAAATTCAAAAGGTTTGGCCTGTGGCTGCTTTTTTTTCTCGATGCAATTCTTGTGAATATGTTAGTAAGTAATAATTTATTAATACCAATAATAGAAAATTAACATGGTGAGAGCAGGTATATCTCATGGCCTTTACTTTTATCAATGCTTAATACCAAAATACTATTCATATCTTTATTTCAGCCTATTAAAAAAATTTATGCCACAGCTCTGGGCAAGTGGCAGGGTGGGGCCAGTGACAGGAATCAGTTCTGGGTATTTCTTGATTCCTAGCTCATCTTCCTTAAATTCTTAAACACAAGAGGTAGCTGGCGGTAAGAAGAGACTGTTAGGAAAGACAGAAACCTTTCAGAAGGGAAGCTTAAGGTAGATTAAGAAAAGTTAGGGAAGCTGAGAAGCACACAGTCTTCCAGATGGAGTATTACATGACATCCGTCATCATCTTACTAAACTTGGTATCATATTTGTTGACTGAATTAAGGAAAGATGAACTAGTTACCAAGAAATATACTCAGCAGATTGATTCATGGCAAACCTAGCTCAGCCACTTACCTAGACTAGTTTATTTAGGATAAACCTCAGAGTATGTACTTCTCTTTTGTTTTATAAATGAAATCTTGGGTCTGGGCTCAGCTGTCAGTCAACTATCTGCATAATACAGCAAAGTCTCTTAACTTCTCTAATTTCCTGAAATATCAAATTGTTACCTTTTGAGAGATGTTGTACTCTTTATTCAGATCACAAAAAGAGTAATCAGTAAATGAATCTCTGAGTAATCAGGACCAGTTTTATTTCATTCCTGCAACTATACCACTAATCGGAAAATTAAAGAAGTTAAGAGACTTTGCTATGTCACAGAGATAGGTGAGTGAACTGAAAAGCAGACCCAAGATTTTGGACTTTCCCAGGCTAGGACTCTTTTTCACCATGTGCTGCCTTACAACTGTCACCTGAGGTTCGAGTAACTCTCCAACTAGCCAAGCCCTGGCTACTTATCCCAGTCATGGAAAAGTCAAACAGGACCCAGAGACCCTCGCTCTGTGCCACCTTCTTCTTAACTCACAGGCCCACTGACCCTCACTGCTGCTGTGGGCTGCTCCCGCCAGCCTGTGCTGAGCCTCCTACCTCATCTGCGAGGAGACAGGGCAAGTTCCAGGCTGAGGGGAACGGCTTCTGAGATGGTTCCAGTCCCTCTTCCTGGCTTGGTCCTTCCACTGGTACTCACGGCTTCCTCATTTCTCCTAATGGGAAAATCAAGGCACTGAAATAAGAAAAATCACTTGTTTTGGTTCATGTCACAGCTATACTGGATTCTGAATAAACACAAGAACCAGATAATATTCTAGAAAAAGTAAAATTAACTCCTACTTCATAAGATTCACCAAAATTAATTCTGTGGCGATTAGAGTTAAATATAAAAGAAGAAAAGGAAGAAAATTAAATTAGTGGAAAATTATTTCTGAATTTGGAATGGGAAAAGAAGATTTAGCTTTATAGAAGCAATGAAAAAAGTAACAAAAGGCAAGGTAATCCAACTGCAACAAAATGTAAAACCCCTATATGTCAAAAAACAGCAAACAGAATTGAAAGGTAAGCAAAAAAAGGCCAGATGTGTTGGCTCACACCTGTAATCCCACCACTCTGGGAGGCTGAGGCAGGAGGATTGCTCAAGGCTCGGAGACCAGCCTGGGGCAACATAGTGAGACCCTGTTCCTACAAAAAACTTAAAAACTAGCAAGGCATGGTGGCACGTATGTGTGGTCCTAGCAGAGGCTAGGGTTGGAGGATCACTTGAGCCCAGGAGTTCCAGGCTGCAGTGAGCTATGGTTGCATCACTGCATTCCAGCCTGGGTGACAGAGGGAGGCATTGTCTCTCAATAAAAAGGTAAGCAAAAAATAAAATAGCTGTAACAGGATAATATTCTTTATAGTATTTGAATGTAAAAGGTAAAATGTAATAACAGACAATTAACACAAAAATATGAAAGGCCAATTAATATGGAAAAAAATGCTCAACTTCATGAGCAAACACCGAAATTCATTTCACCAGTCACAAAGATGGACAACAAAAAAAAAGAAAGCTCATGAAGTGAGGTGAGACAACCATTTCAGGAAATCAGCAATATATGTATTTTTTCAGCCTTAAAACTGTTTCGACTCCTAAGATGTTTATACATATCTCCTAAGGAAATAATCACAGATCCATAGGAAGATAACTATACAAGGACATACTTAGCAAAAGCATAAAATTGGGAACAACTTAAACATCCAAAGGTGGAATGGAGCATGTGACTAACCAGATCACAGTAAAAATTCATATGCTTAAATCATGATTTTTGGAGAATGCTTCATGATATTGGAAATAACAAAAGATAATGTTGAGTGCAAATGCTGAATACAAAATCATATGTAAACATGATACTAATGTTGCCAGGTAAGAAAGAAAGTGAGAAGAAGGGAGGGACAAGGTGGTCTCAATACTGGATTAGGATACATTAAAAAAGCTTAAAAAGGGCAGACAAAGACATTAGATTTTTTATTACTTCTTTATAATCTTGAGATGGTTGGCATTTTCTGTAAGTAATATATTATTTTTATAACTGGAAAAATTCTATTTATGCTAATTACCACCCTCTAAATATTTCTCAGCTATATAAAATCATGAAAATATTTGCAAATACTTTTTAACAAGAAATTTCTTTTTTTTTTGAGATGGGGTCTTCCTTCAGGGGGAGTGCAATGGTACAATCATAGCTCACTGTAACCTCAAACTCCTGGGCTCAAACTATCCTCCCACCTCAGTCTCCCAGCTACTCAGGTATGAACTACCACACCCGGCCAGAAATTCTTATATTTATTATTAAATGCAAAGAAGAAAGGGCAAAACAATATGATCTTTACTATGTAAAAATTTACATGAAAGAGACTGGAAGCCTATGCACCAGAATGTTAATAGCTGTTGCTTTCAGGTAGTGCCATTGTGTATAATACTTTTCTACACCTTACAAGTTTTCTACGATTGTCATGTATTGTTTTCATGATAAGAAACAGATAACAATATCACAATTAGAGGACTGATACATCAAGAAGCTGCTATTATCAACAGTTAAATTTCAAAATACAGAGTATCAATAGCTACAAAAATCTGCCATATGACCAAGAGATTTTCTTTTTTAATTTAGGAACCACCGGTATACCTTCAGAAAATCGCAGGAATTGGTGTGTGTGTAGGAGGTGGTAATGAATCATATTTTTTCAGCTGTCAAACTGTTTTCTCCAGGCAGCAGTTCTGTGAGGGTCCAACTGAAGTATGAGAACCTCGATAGTAGGGACATTGCCAGAAAAATGGCCCAAAGGTCGATGGGGGGAGGAACACGAAATGATCAAAAGAGTAAGGCAAGAGTCCATGAAAACAGAAGCGTCAATAGAGAAGGATCAATAACTCATTTGATCCAAAGGAACTGAACGCAAGAACTAAAACAGGTATTTGTACACCCACGTCCCTAACAGCATTATTCACAATAGCCAAAACGTGGGAGCAGCCTGTGTCTGTCAACCCGTGTCCATCACATGGATATATAAAATGTGGTTTCTCTACACGGTGGAATATTATTTGGCCTTAAAAAGCAAAGAAACCATGTCAATGCTACAATGTTGTTGTAATCCTACAACATTAGATGAACCTTGAGGACACTGTGCTTAAGTGAAATAAGCCAGTCACAAAAGGACAAACACTGTAGGGTTTCACTTATCTGAGGTACCTAGAATAGCCAAATTCAAAGAAATGGAAAGTACGATGGTGGTTGCGGTGGGGCTGGGGGGAGGAGAGAATGGGGAGTTGTTGTTTAATGAGGACAGAGTTTCTGTTTTGCAAGATGAAAAGATTTCAGAGATGGATGATGGTGATGGGTGCACAACAATGTGAATGTATTTAATGCCAGTGACCTGTGTACTTAAACATGGTTAAGATGGTAATTTATCTGTTATATATTTTACCACAATTAAAATATATACAGATATATTTTAAGTATCTGTATTTACATATAGATATAGTCTTATCTGTGTATATGTGTGTATATACATATTTCATCTATAAATATATGAAAGAAAGAAAGAAATCACCAGAATTAGAAGTCCTGAATAAGTTTCCGATTTGGCATGCGAGAAAGGTTTAAGGATTATTTCTGAGACTAAATTCTTTAAATATAATTATAGAAGTCAGCTCAGAAGTGAAAATCCAGATCAAAAGTGAAAATAAGAAGGGATACTGTGTTTAATTTGAACATAATATACCGAACTTCTTTGTGGTTTTTTTTGAGACCCTCTCATAATAGCCAGCTCGGAAAAATTCCCCACAACTAGGAAAGAACCTACAAATCCAAGCAACATGATGACATTTTCTCATCAACTAACAGGAAAAAAAACATAAGCATAAGGGAAACTCTGAGTGTCCTTAAAATGTACTCGATACCCATTTCATGCTATTACCACAGATGTAAAGAATTCTAGAGCTGGGCAGAAGCTCTGAGATAGAACTGTTCCAGGATTTAGATATCTAGAGAGGTTTCCCCAAGTTCACTGAGAAATGCCAGATTTAAAGACAGGCCCCTGGGGCAGAGTTCTATTTTGTTTGTTGTGTTTTATTTAATTAATTAATTTATTTTGAGATAGAGTTTCTCTCTTGTTGAACAGGCTGGAGTACAATGGTGCGATCTCGGCTCACTGCAACCTCTGCCTCCTCGGTTCAAGCAATTCTCCTGCCTTAGCCTCCCACGCAGCTGGGATTACAGGCACCCGCCACCACGCCCAGCTAATTTTTGTATTTTTAGTAGAGACAGTGTTTCACCATGTTGGCCAGGCTGGTCTCGAACTCCTGACTTCAGGTGATCCACCCACCTCGGCCTCCCAAAGTGCTGGGATTACAGGCATGAGCCACCACGCTTGGCCGTGTTTTATTTTTTTTTAAAGAGGTGGCTATTTAAAGGTAAGAAAGCAAAGCGTAATTGGAATGCTCTTTCTACAAGTTATTTGATTCATTAATTTTGTTCAAAAAATACTTGAGCACATCTTATATAACTCTGCCAGGCACTGGGCTAGGTGCTGGATGATGAACAATATTTCATCATCCTTCCTGTAGCAAACTGGCAATTACAATGTAAAGGAGGCACACAGTGCTATTAGTACACATAAGAGGGAGCTCTAATCTGGTCTAGCTAGATTGGTTGAGGATGGCAACCTGGAAGTAGTGATATTTTTAATAATAATAGTAATCACTGTTATCACAGCAAGCTTTACTGACCATCATTACAGGTCAGCTAGGGCTTTAAGCACTTTCTGTGCATGAATTAATTTAATCTTCCCTACAATCCTATAAAGTAGACTCTTACCGATGAGGAAATGGAGGCACGGAGAGGTCACACAGCTCTCAAGTAGTGAAGACAGACCAGATTGCATGCTTTTTCAAAATCTGCTTTTAGGGAAACCCAAAGACAAGACAGGAATGAAACTTAAGGATCAGAACATTCAGGAAAGAACTGAGATCCTCTGAATAAGTAAAAAGGGAGAAATAGGGTAGGGTCACTACAGATGGGAGAGGCTGAGGAAGGATGGAAGGGATACAAAGCCCACGACCAAGAGCTCTGGGGCAGGAGTGGCTGATTTACATTTGGGATTTTCATAAAGTTCTGCGGAGTGGGAAACAACTCTCTTCTCCAACTCCCCATAAACTTGTTAGTGCCATGATGACCTGGTTATGTACAGGCTAGAACGCATGCTCTGCAGAGGCCCCCATCCATCTGGGTACAGGACATTTAACAAATGGGTAAGAATTAAAGCAGGGAAGAAGAAGGATGAGGATGCTTTTAGAAGCATCGCCCAGAAAGAAGTCAGAGAATGGATCAGGGGAAATTTAGCAGGGAGAGAGTTGCTAATCCATTAATACAGGTAAAAGGTAATGGTGACCAAGAAGAAGGACATGACAGATAGATAAAGTAGATGGGTTTGATGATTGTTGATAGGTAGAATTTTGACCAGATTTGCCTTCTTACTGGATTCTGAAGGTGAGGAGAAAGGATCAATAGGTCACAGGTTTCAAGCTTGGGTATTTGGATCAATTTGGAACCTCTTGGATATGAGGTGCCAACAAGATATCCAAGTGCAGATGCCCAGTGGGCACTGGAATATCAGTAGGGAGCTTAGAGACGGATAGAAAGAATCTGAAAAGGGCAATGAGAAGGAAAAG